GGGCTTGGTTGGGGAGAACGGATGTCCTTAAGCTTCTCAAGAGATCATTTGAGGTCCCAGGAATGACCCAGGTTGAAGAAATCTCAGCTGCCAACTTCAACGGGGCATTAACCAAGGTCCCTCTCCCACTGGTGTTTCCAGACGTTGTGTTTGCTGATGTAATGGGACCAACCTTATGCAAAGTACTTGTGTTCTATTAATACATTGCCAGCTTGTTCCCAGCGATGGCTCCAGAGCCAGAGTAGGTTTCTTGCTTGGAGTTTCAGGGGAGGCTTCCAGAGTTCCTATTTAGCTCTTCTCTGCCCCTGAAGAGTTGCCCTGGGTGGGGCTGATCTTCCACGTCTGCAGCACCAGCTCTTTCCTCCTGTGGGGAGCCAGGAGGTTTCAAAATTCCTAGTGACCCCTCCAAAGAATGTGAGGGAAAAGAATGTCACAGGGAGGGACTCTCACACCACCTTTTCTGGACTGGCATGCCAAAGGGCCATTTCTCCATTGGGGTGTCCCCTTGCAGGCTACCCCTCATCATCCCCCCACCAGTTGCCTGCAGCTCATGTTCTCTAGACTCACAAAGAGAGTATGGCTCAATAAGAAGCTGACGACATATACCAAGATCCAGGTCTACAGAGCCTGTGTCCTGAGCACACTCCTGTACTGCAGTGAGTCCTGGACTCTTTGTACACCACAGGAGAGGAAGCTGAACACGTTCCATATGCGTTGTCTCCGACGGATTTTTGGTATCACCTGGCAGGACAAAGTTCCAAATAGAGTAGTCCTAGATGGAGCTGGAATTTTTAGCATTACTGAAACAGTGCCATCTACGTTGGCTTGGGCATGTCGTGAGAATGGCTGAGGGTCGGATTCCAAAAGATCTGTATGGAGAATGAGTGCATGGAAATTGCCCCAGAGGGAGACCACAGCTGCGATACAAGGATATCTGCAGGCCTTAGGAATGGAGCTCAACAGATGGGAAACCTTGACATCTGAGCGTTCAGCCTGGAGGCAGGCGGTGCAGCATGGACCTTGACCTCTGAGCGTTCAGCTTCACGGTCTCTCACAATTTGAAGAGACCCTTGTACAGCAGGCTGAGGCCAAGAGGCAGTCCCGAAACAGCAAAACCAAAGAGCTGGACGGGGGATAGATTGTATTTGTCCTCAGTGTGGAAGGGATTGTCACTCCCGAATTGCCCTCCTCAGCCACATTAGACGCTGTTCCAAGTCCTCTGTACAGAGCACGATACCATAGTCTCTCAAGACTGAACGATGCCTAGAAAAGAAAGAGGAAGAGGCTCCTGTGGAGATTATGCCTTTGTGGAAAACGGAGGGATGGGAGGGAACCTGGTGCAAGAAAGCTGGTCCTTTCCTTCAGGCAGCCCCTTGTTTTCGGCGGAAAATAAGTTAGACTGAGTCTGTATAACGTTAACATTGGAACTTTTATTCATCTCCTCTCCCACCTGCAC